TAAATTGTAATTAAGGGAATCATCGTGACTAAATCAAAAAGGATAAAAGGAAAGCATTTTGTGGACGTACATGGAAACTGTTTAAAGTGCTCATATCGACATCTTAAAGGATTGTCATTTGAAACACAATAACTTCATTATTTCAATAGAGGATATATCTAACCGACGTATGTAATTACCCTTTGATAGTATTACCGTAAAAACAGACTTCACATGATAATATATAATACACAGAATATGTACTATATATAAATTACAACATACATATAGGACATTCATTAAAGGACATCAATTTGCGGTTCCGTAAATACAACACACTATTGATAGAGAGTTCAAACAAAATTTTATGTCAGTATACTATCTCTGAGAACGAAAATAGTTTGTGGCGTTTACCGCTCGACCCTATATATCCTTCACATCTATATCTTCATGTAGCTGTACTGATCCGCATGGACAATTTGTGTAATCTGAACGTAAGTTTCAAAAAAGTATGATCCCAACACATTTTTAGACTAAATGATACACTATGTAGTAACTTTTTGTGAGTACAATGTTTGTTTAATAGTTACTTATAGATTTCTAGTGTTCCAGATAAGACAATTTTCTTTGTTGGCATATCTAATAATTGAAAACTGTCGCCTATCACTGAAGAAAATTCAATGCGACATCGAATTACCGTTTTGTCGTAATTTATTGCAATATCAATATATTCAACAGCAGTTAATGATATATACTGTAAAATAACAAACATAGAGCTGAACATATAATGCCTTGACTGTTAATAATAACAAGACTGTGAAAACAATTTAATACATGATATATCACTGAATCAGACTTACTAAATGGATTAAACTATTTTTAAATAATATGTATTTGCAAGCTAAAAGATCACCTTAATTCGGAGTATTTAATCTAAACACTTAACAGAAAACTATAATTATTGCGATTAATAAAATTTATTTAAGTATATTGTTCTGATCTGATTAGAAACGGTCAATTTTAATTTTTAACCTTTACGCTCTCCAGATTACAGAGTTGTTAATTATATTAGAGTCCAGAAGAGTGAACTCACTCTCCACCTCTCAAGACAATTAATGTGCAATACTTATATTATAAATTGCATGATTAAATGTAAAATTTTAATACAAAGTAATTATATTGGCAACAAATAGTAATTGGAATATTGTTTGTTTGGCTCTCCAGCGGTACGAGTGCGGGCCCCATACCTACAATGTATGCAAACTAGGCTCATTATTTCACAGATAATTACCAGCAATTTTATTCGATTACGCAAACCAAAAGCGCTGCTAAGCAAATTCATAATTTGATTAATATTTAATTTAATTATTTTCATATTTTCTTTATTATTTTTATATACTCATAATAATGTACTTTGTGTGATTAATTGCAATTTATTTAGTTTTTTATTTTGTATTATTTTTGATTTCAAACAATCTTCAATGCAATATGATTACAATTTCGAATAAATTTACTAAATTGATTTAGAAATTAATTTTAATTTATATTTATTAATATTCTTTCATAACGAGTGTCAGCATTACATCACATTTGTTTATTAATACAGTGCAAAAAAAAGAAATAAATATTAAAAAAATTAAATAAAAAATTATAATAATAATAGTGGCAAGCAATGCAGCAACAATAAATATGAACAATAATAATATCATTAGCAGCATTGGCAATGATCACATACATCATAAGTGTTTGAGCAAATGTATCATTTTGATATAATCACAGCGATGTAGACAACCTGATACCCCGATACCCCGATACTCCGATAGCCCGAGCGACGGACAGACGTGCCATGTATCTGTGTCTGTATCTGTATCTGTATCTGAGCTTCTATTATCAATTTCGTACTAAAAAAGTAGCGTACTTAAAAGCAAAACTCACTGACATAATACACGCGAATTAAGCTTTTAACCCCTTGGCACAATTTGGCATAATTTTCATGTCATTCAAAGCGTACAATAGGTGCACTTATCAGCCGATTTGGTGTCACTGATTGCCGGCTGAGGGGGTGCGCAATGGGCAGATACTCTAGCTTTGGTGGCTTGGCTGCGAAATCAGCAATTGCCATGAAATCAACTAAATTAGTTGCATTTCATATGAAAAGTTAATTTATAAAAAATAAAAATTCAATTACAGAAATGAGGTGTGCAATGTGCTATAAAAGCACAAAACTTAAAAAATAATATTTCAAAAACAAAAAAAAAAAATAAATAAAATTCAATTAAATTAATAATATAAGTACATTACTTACTATGTATATATAGTACGTATAGTACTATAGTATACTTAAAGTGCAAGAAATAATTAATTTTAAACTTCAAGACCCCATAAAATTCATATCGCAAACACTCGTAAGTCATAAAAATTTCAACAATTTATTAACATATGTCGTTCTCAGCAATAAATTTATGAAGTGCAAATTGGAGGGTTAAAGGGAGTTCCTGCACCTTGATAAGCAGTTAATTTGATTTCATTGTATATAAGTATCAGCATATAAGTATCTAAACGGACGATAGAGACCGCTTAAGCCGCAATTAGCTTCGAAGTTGACTTGTAATTAAGCAATTGTTACTTGTAACCAAGTATCTTACTTACTTATTTAGATACTCAGATACTCGTACTTAACCGCATGTGAATATGTTTAAACTTTTCAGTTACATTTTTAGTTGCATATGAATTTTGTTGTTTTACGCCTGTAATTAATATAATTAGCAGCATTAACTATAATTAATGCAAAGATTTATGACTTTTTATTAACGTTTTCGTTGCAGTTGCATTTTCGCTTCTATTTTTATATATAATTTTCATATCAATTCTAACATAAACAATTGCATTTCAAAACTTTAATTGCAACAAAATATTTGCTAAATTAATTTCATTTGCTTTTAATTACATTTACATTTTATAAATTTCATTATTTCCGAGGTTAGTTTAATTAATTTTAATTTTTTTTATTGCAATACTAACAAATAATTATGGAATTACAAGTTTTGCTTTATTATAAAAAACAACACAAAACAAAAAAAATACATTAATAAATTATATGGATGGATTTATGGAAGGAAATACGAGCTACTAGTAAACACACTCGATACAATCTAATATCTGTAATAGATTGTTGTAGTTCCACAGATACTTACTAAATATACATATTAATATGTGATGTTAAATGGCTACATTAAGAACCAATTCAAACAG